ACACTGTGGATGCCTCTAGAAAGATCAATGAGACATAAGATCTGAAGATAACAAATGGCTGCTGCCAGCTGTTGAAAAAGCTCCAGCTATGGGAGTTGTAATTGTAAGGTCTTATTGGCAGCACAGCTTAGTAGGAGATGGTACTAGATAACAAGGTCCATGTGTATGATAATATCCTGAGAGTAACCATGATCCTAGGGGAGGTTAGTCTCACAGAGCAAAGAAAGAACAGTGGACGGAGAAAGCAAACAGTTTCAGGCAGTGTGGTAGAATTATTTGCTATAAAGGGTAAGACCCAGTTGAATAAGACTTGGATTGTCAAGGCAAGGTAGACATTCTTACAGATGACACTGTAAATGAACATTTCTTAAGCAAATAGAGGCAGTTCCTGAGTTACAAACAGCTGTGTTATGAATACCCCCCACTTATGAACGAACTACCATAAAGCCTATTAATATTTTTTAAATTCCTGTAGGAAATTGTCATCACCATAGAGAGAAAGGAAGCAAAAGTGGATAGAGGGAGGCCTCCAAAGCAGACCTTCCTGCCCATCTGGAGAGGGAAATTTCCTTGCTGTAAAAAGGGGACACTGGTGAGTTTGGGGGGGCGGGGGGTAGTGATATTCGCAGTTTATCCACTCTCACTGGGGTCCTGAACGCCTAACCTCTGTGAATGTAGAGGGCTGACTATATTTGATCCGACTTACATACAAATTTGTCCTAAAGATGAATTTGTTTCTAAGGAATGGAACTTGTAACTGAGGGCTGCCTGAAATAATGTCATGAAAATGGATATATCAAGACCATACGGGGCCTAAAGGGTACTTCTTACTCTCTAGCATAACCACTTTTTGTCCAGCAAGCTAGAAAAAATAGCCCTAACTGATGTGCTGATATGAATATTAATGGCATTTGTGAACATCTCACAGACCTTTGAAAAACATGAGTACATGAAATGCTATGGGCAAATACTTATGTGGTAGAAAGATGCATCCTAGAAAGGATTATGGTCATATAGGCAAGCAATGCAGAATTAAGGGCACATTCATATTTCTGTATTGCTAACTCTGTTCTCTGCATGACCCAACAGGGGTTTAGAAATCATTAAAGATTGTAAAATAACTGTATGAATTGTATGAATGTGTGGTTCTTATGATGTGGTTGTGTGGAGGGTTTAGACAGCAGGTTCCAAGAACATTGTTTTCATTGAGTATATAAGAGGGTTGAAGAAAAGCCATTTATGAAAATGTGATGCTGGCATTAGGGATATACTCCCTTCAGCTCTTACACGCAGTCACATCTCACAGCCGCAGACACAGTGGTAGTTAGAAGAAATGAGGTGGAAAAGCACAGATGAAAATGCAGAGAAAGACGGGGTGGAAGCCAGCGTAGAGAGAGGTGGTGGGTAAAGAAGTAGAAAAAAAGGAAAGCAGAGAATGGAAAAAGAACCGTGTCTCCTTAGAACTGTCATAAGCTCCAGAGCCCATAAACTCAGGCAATTGCATGCTCCTGTACAGGGTACCTGCTTAGAGCATGTGAGGAAGGCGGTTGGTGGAGTATGACGGATTTGCATGACAGAAACGGCTGGGAAGAATCTGTGCATTTTTTATAGCAGAGCTAGAGTGTAATGATATGCAAAACCTACAAACTATGCAAATCAATCTTCTTACCTTTGGGTCTGCTTTCTTGCTTAAAGGAGCCAGATCCTAATGTAGTAGCCTTTTGTTCTAACTTCTGTAAAACACAGGTGGACATATTGTAGATTCATTTCCTAAGTGGTCTGGTCATTTGAAATCATTGTTCAGTGCTACTATTCAGGTTTGTTTCATTGTGCTAATCTGCTTTTTTTGTACTTCCTCAAGCAGGTCTAGTATTTGCACAGCTTTCCTTCAAGAAGCAGGAGTTTGTCTTCTGCTTGCTTTATAATTCCTAATACATTCAATTATTTCTTTTTGTCATCTTCCCTTTAGTCATGTTTTTTTTCTTTCTACTATGTAGATGAGAAGGCAAGAGACTACTTCCAAGTAGGCCCAGGATAATAATTACAGTAGCTTAGTGTAGCTATAAAAATTCTGATCTTCTGACCAGAGGAAACTAAGAACATCTTTCAGGCTCTTTCCCGCCTTCTCTTCATCTGTGCAAATTTTCTCTCCCTTCCAGCCTTTCTTTTAGCTGTGATACTGTATTATATTTGTATTAATGCTTATCAAGATTATCCTTGTAACTAAAGTTTCAAACCCATTTTAAAGTACAGCTGTAAGGGATAATGCTTATCAGGATTATAACACTGATCAATATTACAGATGTAATGCTACACCATATTTAAAATGTATCCTGAAAGAGAGAAGAAAAGACAAGAACAGTCTGGCACACTCCTAGATACCCTACAGCAATTAAGAAATAGGAATATTGATGCTGCACTGCACCTTAAAGTTCATAAAGTTTTCAGCTTTTCCAAATGTGTTTTATCAACTTGCAGGGCCTAGATGGAATAATTAGTCAGGTGAAAAAATTGTGTTTCCTCAGATGGGAGGGGCACCTTCTATTTTACATAGGCAGTAAAATGATAATGGTGAACTGTTCTGGTTCAGAAATATTCTTTATCCATTGCACACTGTTTTAAACCATTTTAAAACACATGTCAAGACAGAAGCATCCCTGCATATTTAGCACTGAGATAACCATGGTTACTTCAAAGAGTTTCTGACACCTGGCAATGTATATTGCAGCTTCTGATCTTCCTTACCCTTGTGTTCCTTGTTAAATCCACTCATTGTTTTCCCCTTGACTTTAATAGGCTTAATGGAAAACATGAAAAAGTAACACGAATACTTCACTCTCTAGACCAAATCAGATATAGCATCAAATGATGTTTTGGAGTCTTGTGAATGAGCCTTGGGCTCGTACACTTCCTCCTGTACTCATATCCTCACATGTTTTTCCAAGTTGTTCTTTGCCACTGCATGCAAACTATAGTTTATGCCTCTTCTCCTTCCATGTCAGCAAAGGAAAGTGCCAAAGGCTAACTTGTGCAGTACTAAGCACATGTCCAGTAGGTGGTCCTGGGGGCTTGTTAGACTCAACAGATATTGGCCTTCACTCTCCCACAGGACCCCCATAATCATGCCCTTCATGTTAACACATATATGAAACCACTGGAGTGAGGTGCCACTAATATGCGGAAGGCATGTAGCTCTTGGTCAACTTAACATCAAGGAAGCAGACAAAACCTCCATCTTGCTTGGACTGATTCTTACTAATTAGTTATCATCCACTCCTGGTTATCATTCAGTTCATTACTGTATCCAAGCACTGATTTAGAATATTCCATGCCTTGCCTGCACTTGATGAAAGAAAAAAAGGCTTCATCTACATATTGAAGACTGGAGTTGGAATGTCCTTCAGGGAAGCTGGTGCTGGTGCCATCCTCAAGGAAGCAATAACAACCTACTAGATCCAAGCTGACATTCTCTCCTTAGTACATTTGATCAATCATGGTGTGGGAAGGGTCAGACATACAGAAAATCAGCTAGGATTGTTTAAGGCTTCAACAACTGGAAGTCATTTTTAGAAATTTAACCACAATGCTGTGGATACTGCCACTGATTTAATTGCATTGACTAAGGTACCATGCAGTGCACAGTCAACCAGTGCATGCACTCAAGATGCTGAATTATAGAGATTGTTACTAACAATCTCTATATTTGTTACTAACAAATATAGAGATTGTTACTAACCCAATTGGGACAATTATCATTTTCTAGTGTATCTTTCTATGCCAAAGAGCAAACACCCTCCCAGCTTTTCTATGAATGGAAGGCAGTCAGTTGTATTATGAATGAATCCAGCATGCAAAAGGAGCTGAGCCTTCAGAACTATGTAGAAAGACCTTTAGTATGGGAATTGGGGTGTTAAAAACATGCTTCTATTTTTTTTCTCTGAATTACTGGAGGGCATAAGAGAACCATTCCAAGTACTGTAATTCTCCCAATTAAAACATACAGTTTTTGACAGTCATGGAAAGATTGGTAAAGGTATTGCTAATGGTGCAAAGGAAGCTAGTACAGCAGAGAAGCTGCTCCGTGCCCTGCATTGGTAACTGGTCATCACTGCATTCTGAAGTAGCTAGTTTCACTCACCTGAGGTGGGCATATCATGTACTTTTTAGTAACTAGCTTAACTCTTCACACTTGATGAGTTGAGAGCTGATATACAACATTAGCAATGTGCATGCAGTTGGAGGTTTCACACTTCTTTTATGAGAAGGGAAATTTTATACTCGCTGTGTTTGTTAACCATACTAGTGCATGTGGACTTTAAGATACAGCAAAGAGACTTTGGCACATTGTCTGTATTTTATATTGTGTTCAAATAGAGGCAAAAATACAAGATGTCTGCTGTTTTTGCGCAACATACAGATGATGTAAGTGATGCCAAGAACCATACATCAAAATTCACAACTGTGGCAAATTCATTCATTTTCATTTCATTCATTTAAAACATTTTTATGCCGCCCCCATCACAACGAAGCCTAGGGGCGGCTCACAACAGAAACAAAATACATAAATACATAACAATATAACAATAAAAAGTATTTAAAAACCGTGCTTTCTTTCTAAATTTAAATAATGAAAGAATTGCTAGTTGAAGCTGTTCTTTAGAGGGATGTAATGTCTAAGCATCTTGAAAAAGTGGCTTGAAGTTTTGCTCTAGCAGCTGTCTAAATACATGCTTTCCTTTCACTGAAGGGAGACTGTATGCCTAGTGCAAAACCCCTTTGTGCCTATCTGTGAAAGGAGGATAGTTAAGTGTATATAACTATGTATGTAACTTGTAACTTGGAATTTCATTTTCAACACATTTTGCCTCTTTAATTTTCCCTTTCTCATAACCTGTCACCCCAATGTACTTATTTTGAGCAAGAAAAAAATATTTGATTTGCTTGCTGTTCTGTATGCATCCTGAATTAATGTTTTGCTTGCTTCTTTTTTTCTTTTTCAGTACCTTTCTGTACCTGAAATTCCTGGTAGTTTGGGCTCTTGTATTGCTGGCAGATTTTGTTTTGGAATTCAGATTTGAATATCTTTGGCCATTCTGGCTTTTCATCAGGAGTGTTTATGATTCGTTCAGATACCAGGGATTGGTATGTATAATATAGTTCATTTATTTTCTATTTATTATGATTCCTAGCATCAGAAGTAGTACGGGCATATCTTGGCCAGGATCCCAAGAGCCTTTGCTATATAGTGTGTGTCTGTAGAGTGTGTATATGAAAATTCTCACTTCCAAGTACATCCCCTCATGCTGCCCTGAGCAGTGCTCCGGAAGATTCCCTGATGTTCAGTAGCAGGTTCTCAAAAGGGCTGAGGAGCTGCAAAGGGGACAAAGCCTGACTAGTCCTGCTGTATAAACAGCTCTTGGAGCTGCAGTTCTTGGAACCAGCAGGGGATATTTCAAGAACTCAGGGGTAACACGAGACAAATTCAAGGGGATTGCCTGTCAGTTATTGTTCCATTGTAGTTTGTCCCATGATTGTGAGGCTATAGTTAGTGTTAGGTCATAATTTTCAGCTACCATCAGGGAAAGAGTGTTTTAGATTTCTCTCATTGTGTTAAAAAAAGCAGAGTAGTCAAGTAGAACCACCTGACAAATTCATGCTTATTCAAGAAGATTACTTTTGTCAAGCGATGGACTTTTATTCTGCAAATATAAAACTATTACCCTATTTCACGGAGGTGATGGTAAAAACAAAGGAAGAATAATATTAAAGCTATTCATTGAGAATTTTGTCTAAGTAAGCATGCGTTGGTTTATACAGTAGATAGACAGAACAGTTCACATACATTCTTTCAGTAATCTGTACAAGAGCCTTGACAGGTAGGTGGTTGGTTTTGTCTCTATATTGTAGATTTCAGGTTACTTAGCAATTCCTTGGCGGAGGCAAACATAAGCTAGGGGCTCTGTGCCTGGTGAGGGAAGTTTTCTAAAGCATCTCCAAGGCACACATTTAATCTCTTGTAGCTTTCTTTATGTGATAGAGTTAAAGGACTAATACTAATCTATATGTGAAGGAAACCTGTCTTCTAAAATAACAATACAAACAGTATTAATCACAGTAATAAATTAATAATTACTAACCATAAATTTATAAAATCCAACAATCTTGCAGCTCATATGGCTTCTTCTGCAAGTCACTTCTAAAAACCTATATAAAAAGTGATTGCAATGCATTATTTGAAAACTGTTTGCTGTATTTTTTTTAACACATTTTCTTCTTTTTCCCCTTCCCTTTAGGCCTTTTCAGTATTTTTTGTCTGTGTTGCATTCACATCAAATATCATATGTCTGCTCTTCATACCAATACAGTGGTTATTTTTTGCTGCCAGTACGTATGTTTGGGTACAGTATGTCTGGCACACAGGTGGGTCATCCTATTTGCTACACTTCACCTATTAAATATAAATCCTTGAGCAAAGTGCAAAGTAATAGTTACTGGCTGCTTTTGCAAAAGTCACATGTTAGACCTGCTGCTCCCTTCAACCCAGCAGTATCTAGTTTAGTATTGAAATATCCTTAACTTATTAACGGGTCTTATCTCCAGCATCCCACAGCCTGAGACTCAAAGAGGTGCGGGCTGGTGATGTCATGCAGCTGCCAACTCTTGGAAGTAAAAACACTGATTTGTAGGAGCACAACTAGATATGCAAAATGGGGAAAAGTTACTGCTGGGGGGGGGGACTTGAGTGAGGGTGTCTTTAGAGCATTTTCCCCAGTTCCACGTGCTTCTCAGTTAAGGCAAGTTTACAACAGCATGGCCAGGGCAAGCGATTGCTTTTGTGCCTTCCTAACTTCTGTGTAGCTACCTGCCCAATAATTACTTCAGGTGCCGTGAATCAACTACTCTGCTACACACATGCACTTAGAGGAAGGTGTCGTGTGTGCAAGTTCGACAGATTAGTTGACAATCCATACAGTTTAATTTACTGCCCTGAGAAGGAACCCCCAAAGCCTAAGATTTGGCAAACAGCATGCTGAGCACTACAGCAGCCTTCTGCAACCAGATTTCGCAGCCTAATGTGTTGGCCTGCAAGTCCAATTCCCATGCTGGCTTCGAATGATGGGAGTTTCCAGCGAAGACAGAGAGAGGATAGTCAGATGGGGAAGGCTGCCCTAGCGCATCCCAAGCAGTTCTTAGTGGTTTTGTGTTTCTTTTTCTTAAGACTTCTTACCTCTAGGATGCACATTTTGGCACATTATTTAGTAAAGTTTAACAATTCTGTGCTGGAGAACCAAATAATGTGAAAGTAGGCCTTTGTTATATGCAGTTCCACAAGCTTATGTATGTATTTCTAAAAGTCTTTATGAGTTTCCTTTTTATGTTTTATTGATGCCCGTTTTTCTTTGTTTATCTCCAACAGAGAGGGGAGTATGTTTACCAACAGTATCGCTTTGGATACTGTTTGTTTATATTGAAGCAGCAATTAGATTTAAAGATCTTAAAAACTTTCATGTAGACCTTTGTCGACCTTTTGCTGCACACTGGTAAGTTTTCTTCTCAAACTTTTAATTTGCTTAGGCATTACCTCTTAGATTTATAACTTCATTTGACTTTCTTACAGAATGAACTGTAACCACCATGTTTACTAAGCACGCAACAGTTATATTAGTAGAATCTTAATTTTTCAGAAGTCTTTGAATTTTATTTAAACTTTTATATACCATTCGCTCAGCAAAAATGCTCTCTGAATGGTGTACAGCAGAGATGCATTATATGGATACATATGAATTATATGTCTGAATTGGTTGTGGGAATGTCATCCCAGAGGTAGATTTCTATATGTGCCGAAGACTTAATGAAGCTGAAACATTTCATTATATATATCTCAGGAAGAAGTTACCTGTACTTGATATGACTCTTCTCCCTTGCAGTTCCATTCCTTAATGCTGCTTCTGGTAATAATCAGTTGCAACATTATGGATTCCTGTATTTGGTGTGAGTTGCTGTCAAATATTTGCAGGGTTATATTGGAAGGCCTCTTACCAGAAAAAGGCTCTCCTCTTTTCTATAGGGTTGCTTGCCTTTACACGTTGGAAAATGTTGTAGTGATTTGTCCTAGCAGCTTTACTAGGTATTTGAATTTGACTATTTTGCTAATACATCTGGCTCTTAAACTTGTCCAGTTTATAGCAGCTTAGTTTATCTTCAATTATATTTTAAAGAACTACATTGCTAAATTAATTTGCTGTATTTTATAGAGGCTATGATTGCACTAATTGCCAGCGGAGTTCTATAGGAGTCAACAAGGTTCAGTTGGCAGAAATGAGCCAAGGGCCATACCTCTAATAGAATTAGTTGACTGTAAAGCTATAATTAATTTGGATAATTAGTGTAATCAAATGTAGAATATTAACATCCTATTCTAGTATAACTTAAATGGGATTCTCTGGTGAATGTCAGGTACAATATAAAAATGTCCCTAATTTCCTTTAAAATGCTGAAAATGTGCCTGTTCTGTGGGTAATTTCTTACTGCTCAGGGCTTCTGGCAGTTACTCTGTCAGAAAGGTCTCCCATTATGGTGGTTTATCCCTCCCTTCCTGCAAGGAGCTCTGAGCAGTACTCATGCTTCCTTATTTCATTTTTCAAATTTATATGTCGCTGAATAGACCAACAGGACTCTCTAAGCAGCTAATAATACATTAATTATAATTTAATTAGTTAAACATTGCAAGTACAGGGGAGGAGAGAGAAATCTGTTGGAGCAAAGTGAGCTTTATAATCAGGTGTTAAAATCAGATCTCTGAAAGATTCTTCCCCCCTGAGTGAGTGGGGTTTAAACCTGGGTCTTAACTTACATATATAGAATTTCCTTTTCATAATAACAGCATGGTACTCAGCCAGCCACAGAACAGCCATCCACTAAAACCCCATGGACACAGTCCTAGCTGCAGCTCTTAAGGCAGTACAGACTGACGTGATACTCTTCTGATCTGAGAAAGGCAGAACTGCTGAAGTTTAACATACAGAAGATATTGCCATGTCATTTCTCTTACAATGATATCAATTGTTGCCTTAATCCAGGACTTTATTACATTAATTCAGCTCTTCTATTGTCTTCATATGTAAATAATACTACTTTGTAAATGAATATGAACATGTTGACATTTTCTATGGAGAACAGAATAAATTCTGGTAATGATTGTAATCATGATTATATTTTCTTGCATGCTGGGCTTCTTACTCGTTTTTCTTACAGCTTTGTTTGTTGTCTGTGTTAACAAAATCATTATCTTTTTTTCCCCCTAGTATTGGGTATCCTGTTGTAACTTTGGGCTTTGGCTTCAAAAGTTATGTCAGTTATAAAATGCGATTAAGAAAACAGAAGGAAGTACAGAAAGAGAATGAATTTTACATGCAACTTCTTCAGCAAGCTTTACCCCCAGAACAACAGATGCTACAAAGGCAAGAGAGAGAAGCGGAGGAAGGTGAGTCCTTTGTTACCATGAACTTACGATGGGTGTAAAGACTTGCAGATTTGGAACGAGCCCTATGAATATGCTCTCTGTTCCCCTCTCTGTAAGCATTTTCTCTTCCTGATTTCAACCATGGCTTCATGATCCAGATGCAGCAACACAATTAATACAAATTATGGTTCTTTGTTGTTTCTGTATGTGCCCATAATTGGGTTCTGTTGCTTTGGAAATGTGATTCCTGCCCTTCTCCTTGGGACCTTTTCGTTGGCCTCTTTCGGTATGTCCCAAGTGGGAGGGAGCTGAGCACCTTTCCATGCGATTCTTTTCTAGCCCTTCCACATTTTATCCTTCATGCTGATACTGGGTTTCAGCTGATCAGTATGAGAGAGTAACATGTTGTCCTAGTAGTTTTAGTAAAGATCTCTAGATCTCTTCAGAAGATTGATTGTTAATCCCCCCCACCCCGCTTGCCCTTTTACTAATTGGTTCTGGCTCAGTTTATAAGTGTGTATTTAGCATACTTTTGTGATTGAAATTGGCATTTTATGCCAAAATATTTCACAATTTAGAATCTGTTTATAATATTGAAAACCTGTAAACTTACAAATTCAGTGCACAGCCATTGGTTATTTGTTTGGTTTTGGAATTTTCGGGAAACTAGCATTGGCTAGGCACTGGGCTTTAGTGTCATTTACTGCAGGTGGGTAACATAGTGGGGGAACAGCCAGCAGTCTATATTCTTCCTGTATGTCACAGATCCTCTGTCTTTGGGGGAGCGGGGGAAGCCCCATGACGTTCTTAGAATTCCAAATTCCTAGAGGAAATTTGAAGACCAAAAAGGCAGATCCATTGTTAAATAATGAAGCAAATGTTTGTACTAATGTTTTAGTGCAATGTCTTGCTTCATTTTTTAAATGTTAATCATATTCATGATAATGATTCTCTGTGTGCTTTGTTGATTAGAATGCCATTTGACATTACGCAATTAAAAGCCAGTATGGTATAGTGGTTAAGGGTGTGAGTCTGGGACTCAGTCTGAATCCTAGTCCCTGCTCAGCCATGGAGCCAACTGGGTAACTTTGGGCCAGTCATTGGCTTTCAACCCAACCTACCTCATAGGTTGGTTGTTGTGGTAATAATGACTGAGAGCAGGAGAAGAATGATATAAGCCACTTTGAGTTCTTGAACAGAAAAAGGCAGGATATAAATCTAATAAATAAATAAGAGGAACTGTGATATAAATTAAGTGGTTGGATTCTATAAGTAGTGTGCTTCTTGTATTTAGATAGTGTAATGCTGAATTTTGTGTTAAGAGCTCTTTTTAAAGAAATCATGGCATGGATTTAAAAAGAAAACGGTCATTTGTGGCTACTGCTGCAAGTCTAAGCATGTTTGGAGGAAACTTGGTTCTGTCATAAAATGAGATGGTGTTTTGCTCCAGAAAACCCTGGGATAAGATGGTTGGAACTTGTTAGTTCCTCTGATTCAAACAGGGCTTAACGCACAATTGATTTTTTTGCTAGACCATTGACAGACTTAGTGATTTTAATAATTCATACCAGGGAAGTGCAAAATGGAAAAATGACACCAAAAATATAAACAGATCAAGTGCAGACACATTTTAAATAGCCAAATTGGCAGTCAAATTTCACTCTTTTAGGTCTGAAAGTGACACGTGGCTGAAATGCCCTTGTGAATAAACCCACAGAGAGGCCGGTAGTGCTGGAGATCAGCCTCAGTATCCGTTTGTGTGGGATGCTGTAGCACTGTACAGCCACTCCGCTCTGATGATGACATGCTTATTCCTAAGTTATTCTAATGATCTCAAATTAGCCTTACTGTAGGCAGTTTAGAAGGCATTCGTTGAGTAATCACAACCATGAAATGGATATTGGGAGACTGCCTATATTCAGTGGAAATGATGAGCTAAGAGAAGGCTGCTACGTAGTAACTGTCCTGAAGCTATTTTATGTTTGCTTAAATCAGATTCATAAATTACATTCTGGAGGAAAATATATTATTTCTTTTGAAAATAGCAATAATAGCTGTATTACCCCCAAAACAAATTTTTATTAAAATGACCAGGTTGATGCAGGAGAAGTCATGTACCAGTGAGTTCTTTAGGAGTTATTTAATTTAGGAATATACTTGATTGCATCCGTTTCTAATTTGAGTTCTGTATGCTGCGTATAAGTGAGAGAGAGAAAAAGAGAGATGTTTTTGGTTTCAAATAATAAACAATTACTGAATCAGAATATACTTAAATAATTACCTTAAATAGAAAATATTTTTGGTTTGCTTTTAAAATATCTTTTTTTTCTGTTATTTCAGCAGCAAAAGGATTATCTGATATGGATTCCTCAATACTTTTGCAACACAATGGAGGTATTCCTGCCAATAAAAAGTTATCTACAACATTACCAGAACTAGAATATAGAGAAAAAGGGAAAGAGAAAGACAAGGATGCCAAAAAACATAACCTTGGAATAAATAACAATATTTTGCAACCTGTGGACTCTAAAATACAGGAAATTGAATATATGGAGAACCATATCAATAGTAAAAGATTAAATAATGATCTTGTGGGAAGTACAGAAAACCTCTTGAAAGAGGACTCATGCACTGCCTCATCTAAAAATTACAAAAATGCAAGCGGAGTTGTGAACTCCTCACCTCGCAGCCACAGTGCAACTAATGGGAGCATCCCTTCTTCATCTGCTAAGAATGAGAAAAAACAGAAATGCGCTAGCAAGAGTCCAAGCACACATAAAGACTTAATGGAAAATTGTATTCCCAATAACCAGCTAAGCAAACCAGATGCACTGGTAAGGTAAGTTTGATGTGTTAATGACCTAGCTTCCTCTCAACTCTTTAACTTTCTTTTTCTTTTACAGAAAGTTAAGGTGCTCTTTTAAGGATGCTCTCTGGAGGTTGGAAATAGGTGGAGTCTGTGGATCTTTAGGCGTCTTGCATGCTAAGGATCAGGTTATATGGGTTTCAACTCATTCGTGTTCTTGTAGAATCAATGTCTAAAGAAGTAAACTGGGAACCTGAGTTCCATACCCTGACTGTTCCAGTCAGTTTGCTTACTGTACATTTGCATAACTGCTTTTTTCCAGCAAGCCACACAGAAAGAATAATTAAATTGGGGATGGGGTAAACAAGAATGCTTGCATCTAAATGCATGCTTTTGCATGTGGAACATCTTGAAACTGTTTGTAGTTTCTGCAGTGAGGCTTACAAAAACTATTGCTTGCTTCCTTTTGTTTTTCTGTTTAAATATTTCCTCTTGGACTTGGCACACTGAATACAAACACTCACAAGTAAATACATATTGGTTGAAAAGTGGTTAAGATTTGAAATTCCTGGACATAGACTGGATGCCAGCAGTTATGGTTTGCTTAATTTGGGACTAGAGACTTAGGAACATGTTTGCTGTTGCACAGTAATATTCATGAAAAATGGGGATTTTTTTTTAAATCAGGAGAATAAGTACATGTAGCAGTCCACAATTCTGCTGGTCTTGGTGACTGTCTAGTTTGGCAAGCATGGCAAGAGGGTACAAGAGGGTTTGGCACAATTCTTAGGACTGTGTCCAGCTTTGCCATCCAGAAAAATAAAAACTGGAACTGGGAAGAGGGGAGAGGAGAGGTGCAACAGGTGGTGAGGGAAAAGGAAGGGCAGGGTTCCAGCAATGACCGGTTCTGGTTTGGCTTCCAAGACCAATCAAAACACATGGGCTTCTGCCACAGCAAAGAATTCTTGAGTAGGGTGGAGATGAATAATTTAAAGAAAACATTTGAAGGTGGACCTTTGCGCCTGCTTTATGAATGCCACAAACCACGATAACGCACTGCAAAAACATATGCTGCTGCTTCGATTATTAAAAATGGATTGTTAATTTTAATTGGTTTTTATTTAAATGGGATTTTTATAAATAAAATGCTTTTTGAGAAAATCTAAATTCAGTTTTCTGTTTAAGATACATGATAGTCCAAAGGTTATTCATCATGAAATAAAGATTAATTTTTAATTATGTAGCATGAGGTTATATAGTCATGCAATGTTTCCCTTTTTTGGTAAAGTAATTCCATTAACACATTCATGATGTTATGCTCTTCCAGAGGTTTCTGTAAGATCATTGGGCAGTTTTTTATCTAGCGGGTATTATTGCAGATGTTTGGTTTTGCAGTTCTCAAAACCGTGAATTTGTGTCTGCTGAGATCACATGCCTCTTCACAGCAAGAACCTAAAATCAATGTACTGAGTCAACAAGACCTTAATCCCGTTGTTCTTTTGCAAATCTATGTACACAAAATCAACCCCCTACCTCTTAAGTGCTAAGTTTCAAAAAAGTCAATGACTAGAAGAAGCTTGTTGGGAGTGGAATAGATCTGCACAACAAGCTAAGTGTGAGGAGGGAGGAGCAAGCAGTAAAAATGAAGGGGAAATCTTTTGAGCAGGGTACTCCACAAGTCTTTAGATTCTGTGTGTGCGTGCAGCTGTAGGTTTATTATATTCTACTTTCCCTGGAGGAGAAAATCTGTAATGGTAGCAGGTGGTAAAAGTTGCCCAGTTTGGGAATATTTTGATGAAGTTCTTCTACGTACAAGTAAGGCAGGCATGTGTACATATTCTGTAGAAAACCATGATTTAAATCTAGTCTTACTGACTAGTGATTTAAATCATGATGTAAATTGATTTGATTTCAATCAGGTCCACCCTGGTGGGGAGTGAATTTTTAATTTTAAAAGATCAAGCATGAAATACAGCCCATAAAAGCAAGTGCTGTTCAGCAAGCCCACCACCAACATAGCATTTTCAGTTACATAGTAAAATATGACATATATTTTGGCCTCTTGTATTTTGATAGGAAACTCAGCCAGAGAAGACCAGCTCTTCTGGGGGGTTTTGCCTAGCTTTCAGCAAATAATATGTAAAAACCTGTGCTGTATATATAATATTGAACGTAATTGTAAGGTGCCCTTACTTATTCCTAGCAGTGCCTGCCTACAACAGATAAATTGATACCTTGTGCTCTGGTGAGTTCAATGGGACTTGCTCTGAGATAGGTGTGTATAGGATTGCAGCCTTAAGTAAATTGGAGGAGCTTAGACTTTATCTATTTAAAGCATTCATAGTCTTCCTCTCTAATTAGAAATAAATCTAAGGCAAGTTTCAAATTATTATTATTATTATTACTACTACTACTGCTACATTGCATTTGTATCCCCTCTTTTTTCCTCTTGTGGGGAACCCAGGATGGCTTTACATAGCTGTTTTATCCTCACAACAATAACCTGTGAAGTAGGTTGGGGTGAGAGGGAATGACTGGAGCAAACTCACTCAGTGAGTTTCATGGATGAGTGGGCAGTAGAACTTAAATCTCCCAGGTCCCTAGTCCAGCCATCTAACCACTACACCACATTGAATGTGTGTGTTACATTTTAAAATGATAAATTCCAGGATAACATTGGCCATATTTGTTATTTTGTTAGCAAATATATGTATTGCTCCAGGAAGGACTCCCTGGAGAAGAGCCTAATGCTGGGAACAATAGATGGCAAAAGAAGAAGGGGATGGCAGAGAATGAGGTGGCTAGATGGAGTCACTGAAGCAGTCGGCGTGAGCTTAAGTGGATTCCGGAGGATGGTGGAGGACAGGAAGTCCTGGAGGAATGTTGTCCATGGGGTCACGATGGGTCGGACACAACTTTGCGACTAACAACAACATATGTATTGCAAAAATTATGTATTTGTAGGATAAGTTATTTATTTTGGCAGTACTAACATTAGCCTCAGTGTTTACTGAAAGTCCAGGCAAATAAAATGCTGCTAAGCTGGCACATAGCACTATATAGACTAGGCATCAGACAAATATAACTAACCTGGGGATGATGTTCCACAGTTGGGATGCTACAAAAGGGAGGTTCCTGTCTTGTCATCCTTAAAAGATGAGGGCACCAAGAGATGGACTTCTGCAGATATTGATGACAAGAAGTTGTGTGTGACCTTCAGCAAGTAGCATAGAAGAGCCATTCTAAAATGCAAAATGCAGTGTCTGTAGTGGAGGTTATGAACCAGAAGCAAGCATTTACCAAATGTCTTATCAGCCAGTGATCTGTGTTCCATAATTATAGCAATTACTGCATTTTAGGTTGCTAGAGTACAAAAGACGTTGACCATAGCTGTGTCACAGCATCTAGGTTTTCTTGCATTTGTAGCTCTACCCATTGATTTCATGTTGTGCAGTTCATCAGAATGTTTTTGAGTTATGAGAGCAGTAAAAACCATCTGTTTATTTGCAGATAATAACTGAAAAATAGAATTTCAGTGGTTCATGATGCTGTATTGTAAAATATCAATGCCTAATAGTGATACACCTGAAAAAAGCCCTCTTTTATCCTGCTTGATGTATGGACATTAATTTTGGGGATCATCTTGCTTATTTAAAAAGAGGCACATAAACATAAATTTAAAGTGCAGTAAACATACATTTGGAGCCAGACTATTTTAATAAGTCTTATAAAAGTGGTTCACTTTCGCTGGCAAATCTCCCAAGAATGTGGTTGATGGAATAAACCGTTCATAAAGTATCTGTGAGCTCTTAATTTACATAGGGAAATGTGTGCCTTCTGAGGTTTTAGCATGAATTGATCCACTTTTAGAAGAAGCTAGCCCATGTTTGTTTTTGGTTGTTGAAAATGATATATTTTAACTTGTTTGGGGCCTTCAGGGCAACTCACAACTATCACAGTAAGCAATACAAAAATGTAAAACCTGCAGAGAATTCAGTAAAATAGCTATGAAAAAAGCCCTACAACTTAGTCCCACAGACTCTCTGAGTACCTGCAACCTTTGCTTGACATCAAAATGCTGATACAGAAGGGGCAGATTGAACTTTTCCAGAAGGGAGTCCTAAATTCTTGGTGCCACTGTTGAAAATGCCCTGTTCTAGATGATCCCCCCCCCACCCATCTAACCCAAATTTCCACACAGGACTTCACCAAGGAATATGCTAAAAACGTAAGGTAGCTGCTTATGGGGAAACACTGTCCTTTAGATAACACAGTTTGCAAAGTGTTAATTGACGGGAAAATCTAATTAGCCCCTAAGTTAATAAACTCACAAGGGGCAAGAGGAAGCAGCGGTGGGCAAGCCAGTGATTCAGGCCTGATGACTAGCTGAAAGTTTGTACTATGTAATCTTAGTGGTGGTATTTTGATTCCAGCTTTAAGTGTCATGGGATGGAACCAGGTGTTCTGATGAAGAAATTGCTTGTGCCACTTAGTAACTAGCCAGGCATATATTTAACATGGAATAGAGGGTGAATTGACTCTTGGGGGGGTTATAAAATTTTACTTAACCATCTAAAATGCAATACTAAAATATATCAATTGAATCTTCAGTTCTAATATTGACTTGAAATCCCATAATAAAATCCCCGCTGCTAGTTATATACCTGCATCCAGAAGCAGCAGCAGTAAAGTTGAGCTGTTTATGGAATAAACGAAGATCCAGGATTTAATTATACTTAGCCCAGAAAAACGTGTGTTTGAGAAACTCTGAACAGAAGAAATTAATTCACATACACTTTCTGCTATTTATTTATCCTATCAGAAGCTATTTGTGAGAAATGTTCATTGTTACCTCTAGTTCCATGGATATTTCTATGACTGATGATCCTGCAGTTGTAATATTGGTAAATGGCAAGATGATTCTCATCTATGATTTGGTCTTGAATGAGCATGTTACTTGGCCAGTCACAAATGATTTCTAGTCCCACATGTTGAAGTGGAAATCCCCCTGCCTTGGTAGAATTAATAGTGAT